TGTGAGTGGGATGAGACGTGTGTGTGTGTGAGTGGGATGAGACTTGTGTGTGTGTGCGGGGTGAGACGTGTGTGTGTGTGGGATGAGACGTGTGTGTGTGTGGGATGAGACGTGTTTGTGTGTGTGTGTGTGGGATGAGACGTGTGTGTGTGTGTGTGGGATGAGACGTGTGTGTGTGTGTGGGATGAGACGTGTGTGTGTGTGTGGGATGAGACGTGTGTGTGTGTGTGGGATGAGACGTGTGTGTGTGTGGGATGAGACGTGTGTGTGTGAGTGGGATGAGACGTGTGTGTGTGTGTGGGATGAGACGTGTGTGTGTGTGTGTGCGGGGTGAGACGTGTGTGTGTGTGTGTGGGATGAGACGTGTGTGTGTGTGTGTGGGATGAGACGTGTGTGTGTGAGTGGGATGAGACGTGTGTGTGTGTGTGTGCGGGGTGAGACGTGTGTGTGAGTGTGAGTGGGATGAGACGTGTGTGTGTGTGTGCGGGGTGAGACGTGTGTGTGGGATGAGACGTGTGTGTGTGTGTGGGATGAGACGTGTGTGTGTGAGTGGGATGAGACGTGTGTGTGTGTGTGAGATGAGACGGGTGTGTGTGTGAGTGGGATGAGACATGTGTGTGTGAGTGGGATGAGACGTGTGTGTGTGTGTGTGCGGGGTGAGACGTGTGTGTGTGTGTGTGGGATGAGACGTGTGTGTGTGTGTGAGATGAGACGGGTGTGTGTGAGTGGGATGAGACGTGTGTGTGTGTGTGTGGGATGAGACGTGTGTGTGTGTGTGGGATGAGACGTGTGTGTGTGAGTGGGATGAGACGTGTGTGTGTGTGTGTGTGTGTGCGGGGTGAGACGTGTGTGTGAGTGTGAGTGGGATGAGACGTGTGTGTGTGTGTGCGGGGTGAGACGTGTGTGTGGGATGAGACGTGTGTGTGTGTGTGGGATGAGACGTGTGTGTGTGTGTGTGGGATGAGACGTGTGTGTGTGTGAGTGGGATGAGACGTGTGTGTGTGTGTGGGATGAGACGTGTGTGTGTGAGTGGGATGAGACGTGTGTGTGTGTGTGTGAGATGAGACGGGTGTGTGTGTGAGTGGGATGAGACGTGTGTGTGTGTGTGTGCGGGGTGAGACGTGTGTGTGAGTGTGAGTGGGATGAGAGGTGTGTGTGTGTGTGCGGGGTGAAACGTGTGTGTGGGATGAGACGTGTGTGTGTGTGTGGGATGAGACGTGTGTGTGTGTGTGTGGGATGAGACGTGTGTGTGTGTGAGTGGGATGAGACGTGTGTGTGTGTGTGGGATGAGACGTGTGTGTGTGAGTGGGATGAGACGTGTGTGTGTGTGTGAGATGAGACGGGTGTGTGTGTGAGTGGGATGAGACGTGTGTGTGTGAGTGGGATGAGATGTGTGTGTGTGTGTGTGGGATGAGACGTGTGTGTGTGCGGGGTGAGACGTGTGTGTGTGTGTGTGTGGGATGAGACGTGTGTGTGGGATGAGACGTGTGTGTGTGTGTGTGGGATGAGACGTGTGAGTGGGATGAGACGTGTGTGTGTGAGTGGGATGAGACGTGTGTGTGTGAGTGGGATGAGACGTGTGTGTGTGTGTGGGATGAGACGTGTGTGTGTGAGTGAGATGAGACGTGTGTGTGTGTGAGTGGGATGAGACGTGTGTGTGTGTGTGGGATGAGACGTGTGTGTGTGTGTGGGATGAGACGTGTGTGTGTGAGTGAGATGAGACGTGTGTGTGTGTGTGTGGGATGAGACGTGTGTGTGTGAGTGGGATGAGACGTGTGTGTGTGTGGGATGAGACGTGTGTGTGTGAGTGGGATGAGACGTGTGTGTGTGTGTGGGATGAGACGTGTGTGTGTGAGTGAGATGAGACGTGTGTGTGTGTGTGTGGGATGAGACGTGTGTGTGTGTGAGTGGGATGAGACTTGTGTGTGTGTGAGTGAGATGAGACGTGTGTGTGTGTGAGTGGGATGAGACGTGTGTGTGTGGGATGAGACGTGTGTGTGAGAGTGGGATGAGACGTGTGTGTGTGTGTGGGATGAGACGTGTGTGTGTGTGTGGGGTGAGACGTGTGTGTGTGTGTGTGGGATGAGACGTGTGTGTGTGAGTGGGATGAGACGTGTGTGTGTGTGTGTGGGATGAGACGTGTGTGTGTGTGTGAGATGAGACGTGTGTGTGTGTGTGTGGGATGAGACGTGTGTGTGTGTGTGTGGGATGAGACGTGTGTGTGTGTGTGGGATGAGACGGGTGTGTGTGTGTGGGGTGAGACGTGTGTGTGTGTGTGGGATGAGACGTGTGTGTGTGTGTGGGATGAGACGTGTGTGGGATGAGACGTGTGTGTGTGGGATGAGACACGTGTGTGTGGGCGCGTTTCTCTATTTACTCGATTTGTAGGAGCGTAGCGCGAGGCGGGGGTGGCCTGGGTTTCATTGAAGCTGGTACCTTGTCATGTCCCTCTAATCCGATCACGCTACCATAACATTTAACCCAAGCCAAACCCAACTGCGCCGCGAATCATTACAAAAGCAGTGAAACGTAGAGAGAACATCTTGTAGAAAGCCTGGTTGTAATTACGTTTTTTTTTTTTGACATTCGTAACCTAGACAAGCATAACGCACCCCCTGATATTAAGGACGAATTATCTTCGGTGACCGAGGAGTGTAACTCATCAGCTTTGAGTAAAGAGGGCTCGCCCGCACCTCCCGGCACGTGGTGCGGCCTGCCCGAGGCAGGCTCGCCACGGGGCAACGGCGATGTTCACGCAGCAGCTGCAGCTGCAGCAGCAGCAACAGCAGCAGCAGCTGCAGCAGCAGCAGAAACAGCTGCAGCAGCAGCAACAGCAGCAGCAGCTGCAGCAGCAGCAACAGCAGCAGCAGCTGCAGCAGCTGCAGCAGCAGCAGAAACATCTGCAGCAGCAGCAACAGCAGCAGCAGCAGCTGCAGCAACATCAGCAGCAGCTGCTGCAGCAGCTGCAGCAGCTGCAGCAGTAGCAGCAGCAGCACTGCGCGGGTCTTCTTGTTTCGGGGAAGAGCGCGCGCGTGCCGAGGGTTAGAGCGCGCACGTGTTCAGCTGCGGCGTGCGCCGCTCTCTCTCTCTCGGGTTGCCACACGCGCTCGCCACTCGGTGAAGTTCGCCGAAAATATGAAAATGGGAAGTTTGTTCGAACGTGGAAAAAGAGAACCGTGAGTGTGAAACGAAACTGAAAATTCAGAAGTCAAAGCAACGGTTCAAAACTATAATCTGGGTTCGTTCCCAAAACTAAAACACGTTCCTCAATAACATTCTTGTCACCTCACCGATTTATTTTATGAAATATAAATAGTATGTTTATTGCAGTGTTCATGACGCACATGAGTTTGTATCATTTGCTCACGTGCACCGCTGCCGATGCAGTCTCACACAAAAAGTTTTATTTTAATATTTGATGACAATTGAGTACATTTGGCATTTGCGCCATTCTCATAGAGTGCAAGGCTATTGTCGTGAAGGAAGGCAGAGCGTGGTGCACAGACAGTCCCAGGCGGGTTCACAGCCGGGGCGATGATTGGGAGGTGTAACCGCAACCAAGTAATGTGCAGTACAACAATGGGAAACTTTGATTTAAAGCTTTCGTGACTGCCGGGATTCATCTTGGTTCTTTCGGTAAAGTCACGTAGAAGGGAAATAATAAAATAATAAACATAAAACATAATAAAATAATTCTCACGACGTTTCGGCCACAACGCTGTCTGTCCCGACAGACATGTTCTTCACCTGAGGACGGCTGCTTGCGTTGTGGCCGAAACGTCGTGAGAATTATTTTATTATGTTTTATTTTTATTATTTTATTATTTCCCTTCTACGTGACTTTACCGAAAGAACCAAGAAAATGGGCAACTCTTTTTAGAAATGATATCGCGGGAGCTTTAACGTTCACCGTGAAACTGAGGGCGCGTTGTGTTGTATGGTTGACACACACCGCAGTGATAACCAGGGTGGTCTTCTGAGTTCAAGCCTCTGTGAGCGTGCCAGCAGCGAGCCGCATGGCACCGCAGCGCCAGGTTCCAACACTGGAACCAGAACTGGGCGCCGATTGCATTCAAAACTGACATCTTCAACTGAACAATACGACATGAATTTGAATTGAAAACTATTTCACGATTTGAATAAACATAACACTGAGCTGCATTCGCAGTGACAAGGGTCGTGTTCCCGGCCGTGGGATTCTCTGCGAACGATGATCTCGATCTGTTCCAGAGTCTCCCCGAGGTTGCCTCAGCCTGACATTACCAATTCGAGTTTATGTCAACACCAGGACTGGGGGAGCGAACAATCCTGGGCATGTGTGCAGCCGTCTTTGACATTTCCTCATGTATTGTCCTTGCTTAAATATGAGCTCGCGAACAGCCTATTCCAAGCTGGCAACCAAGATAAAGTGTAGAGCATATTGTATTTGTTGCACCCACGTGTGTGTGTGTGAGTGTGTGTGAGTGTGTGAGTGTGTGTGTGCGTGAGTGTGTGTGTGAGTGTGTGTGTGAGTGTGTGGGTGTGTGTGTGTGAGTGTGTGTGTGAGTGTGTCAGTGTGTGAGTATGTGTGTGTGAGTGTGTGTGTGTGAGCGTGTGTGTGTGAGTGTGTGAGGGGACAAAGATGCCTGGGCGAGATGCTGGCCACCCACCTCCTCGTGTGCCATGGCGGCCTTCATCGGATGCCGCGAACAGCACTTGCCCCAACAGCGTGTCGAGGCTATACAGGGGATCTTTGTCTTTCAGCGTATATAACGAGTGTCTGATCGTCGGCTCGAAGGCTTATGAGAAAATGCGCATGTTTGATTTGTTCCACGGATGATTCCGTTGAGCCAGCTTCCCCGCTTGTTGGACACGGGAGTGAGCCCAGCAGCAACGGAAAACGAAAACGGCAAAAATTGCAGAGAGCGAGTCCATGGTCCTGAAGCAACGAACGCTTAGGAAGCACGCGCTCCACACGTGGAGGTAAGACGCGGTGCGTGAAGAGTTGGGCAGCCACGTACCCCTCGCTCGACGGAGATCTCTCTTGGCTTTATCCGGTCCCTCCCAAAGCTTCAACAATCAGGGCTCCGCTGTGAGGTCGACAGGACAGAGACACAAACATAAGCCAAGGGCGTCTCACATCTCTGTGCACTCGGCGCAGATTGGCGGCGTGCTCTGGGGAAGGGCCATGGCCCGAAACGTCGCCCGTCGTGGGCTTGTTCTTGTTCTTGTTCTTGTTCTTGTTCTTGTTCTTGTTCTTGTTCTTGTTCTTGTTCTTGTTCTTGTTCTTGTTCTTGTTCTTTCGGGGCCGCGTTGTTGACGTGCCGATTGTGCTCAGTGGTTGTTGTCACGTGTGGTTGTGCACCAGAGCCAAAGGAACATCGCCAAATCACTGTGTAGAATTACGGTTTTTGGAAACAGCAGACATAAATACAAGCACACATGAAAACCGAGTGTTTTAACCACAGAATAGAGAACACCCGGGGTTCCTCTCTGCGCCAGAACACAGATATTGCTCTGTGGTTGCATTGTTTAATCTACTGAACGAAAAACAAAGAGCCCGCTATTGCATAAACACGAAACTCCACTCAGCCCCGCAGGTGGTCTGGTATTCCGCTTGCCACGTCCCACTTGCCGGTGTCATCGGCAAGCCGTGCGGCAGCTTGTAGCCCACATTTCTGGAGTTCGTTCTCCACGTGTGTCATATAATCTTTCACATTAACTAATTTGTACGTTTTATGCTTCAGCTAATTTTGAGTTCGCCGTTTATTGATTTATTTTGAATCGTCTTCTCCGTTTATTCGCCTTGGCGTCCATCCCCAAGGCCCTAGGGCTCCGTCTCTCCTGGCCTCTTCCCATCGATTGTATCCCTTTCCCCAGCACGCGCCTCCTCTCCACTTGGTCGTCAAAGCGACCTTGGCCTCTCTCGCCCCCCCCCCCCCTTATCGACGCCGCCTTCAACCTCTCTCTAGCACAGCGGTCGGGAACCTATGGCTCGCGAGCCATATATGGCTCTTCCAGTGACGACATATGGCTCCCAGACAATTTTGAGTTGAAAAAATAAAAAAAAAATCTGTTTGGAACTGATTTTTAAATACTTGTGATATTGCTTAATAATACTGTATCATTTTAAAGTAAACAGAAATTAGTTTTGAAGATAAATTTCACGGGTCACGCCTGCATGAAGCTCAACCTCACCACGTCGTACGAACCAGACTACAAGGCCATCAGCAAAACCATGCAGCACCAGAAGTCGCATTAAAAGTAAGACATATTTAATTTATTATACGTAAAAAATACTATAATGCTCTCAATGAAATATATTTAGAAATATTTGGCTTTTATGGCTCTCCCAGTCAAAAAGGTTCCCGACCCCTGCTCTAGCAAGGTCACTTCAACCTCTCTCTAGCAAGGTCACTTCAACCTCTCTCTAGCAAGGTCACTTCTAACCTCTCTCTAGCAAGGTCACTTCAACCTCTCTCTAGCAAGGTCACTTCAACATCTCTCTAGCAAGGTCACTTCAACCTCTCTCTAGCAAGGTCACTTCAACCTCTCTCTAGCAAGGTCACTTCAACCTCTCTCTAGCAAGGTCACTTCAACCTCTCTCTAGCAAGGTCACTTCAACCTCTCTCTAGCAAGGTCACTTCAACATCTCTCTAGCAAGTCCACTTCAACCTCTCTCTAGCAAGGTCACTTCAACCTCTCTCTAGCAAGGTCACTTCAACCTCTCTCTAGCAAGGTCACTTCAACCTCTCTCTAGCAAGGTCACTTCAACCTCTCTCTAGCAAGGTCACTTCAACCTCTCTCTAGCAAGGTCACTTCAACCTCTCTCTAGCAAGGTCACTTCAACCTCTCTCTAGCAAGGTCACTTCAACCTCTCTCTAGCAAGGTCACTTCTACCTCTCTCTAGCAAGGTCACTTCAACCTCTCTCTAGCAAGGTCACTTCAACCTCTCTCTAGCAAGGTCACTTCAACCTCTCTCTAGCAAGTCACTTCAACCTCTCTCTAGCAAGGTCACTTCAACCTCTCTCTAGCAAGGTCACTTCAACCTCTCTCTAGCAAGGTCACTTTTACCTCTCTCTAGCAAGGTCACTTCAACCTCTCTCTAGCAAGGTCACTTCAACCTCTCTCTAGCAAGGTCACTTCAACCTCTCTCTAGCAAGGTCACTTCAACCTCTCTCTAGCAAGGTCACTTCAACCTCTCTCTAGCAAGGTCACTTCTACCGCACTCGCTTCTCGCCGCTCGGCCTTCTCCTGCCTCGCGCTGATCCAACGCACCGGCTGCCCTCGTTCCGCGATGTGCGTCTATGACGAGGAGGATGCGCGTGAACTCTCGCAAAGGTCGCCCGATGTGAACGGAACTTGATCGGAAAGTTTCGCTTTGCTACTCCGGGACTTTGTGTGAATGAAAACCGAGCAAACTCATCAACGCGCTGCCCAACTCCTGGAGGCACGAACCAGCGCTCTCACGGCCCTCCCCACGCGGCGGGCCGCGCGATGTGGCCACCCCACCCCTCCCCCAGCCCCGTGGCTGACCCCGCGACCCTTGAGGGAGGCCCACGGGTGGGGGGGAGTGGGAAGTGCTCCTGGGGAGGGGGCTCCCTGGGGGGGCTCCCTGGGGGGGGCTCCCTGGGCAGACAACTTTCCGCCAGCAGTGCCGTGAGCGAGGCGACGTTGGAGCACGCAGAGCTTTTACCTTTGACTTAGCATCACTCGGAAAGTGTTTATTTGGGAGGTCTTAAAATTGAGGATTTTTCAAAATGCAGAAGAAGAAAAAAGCACCAAGGGGTTGTCGTGTTACACATTTCCGCATTTAAAGTGAGCGGCCGACACCCAGCATGGACTCGTAGCATCCTGCGCAAAAATAAACACAACCTTGGACTGTGCCAAATGCACAAGCGGCAGAGGGTAGGATGAGATTGAGTTCGTTTCAAACAAGGTAGAGCAATGGTAAGATCCTCATCGCTGGGAATGAGGTCTCGTGAAATGTGTTCCCTCGTAATGTGAGGAATTGTCACGGATAGGAGGAGCGACTATTCAAGTTTGTTTTCTTGTTTCTCTCTTCCTATTGTGGTGAACGGAGTGACGTCTCGTGGCAACGGGTCACGTGGACCCATCAACATAGAAAATGTACAAATTTAAAACGATAAATTCACACACGCACAATTTGATGCAAGAATTGTAGAGTTGTCACCTGTCCAGGTTTGGCCCGGATAGTCCCGGAATTCGAATCTTTGTTCGGGTGGCAGGAATTTATTTTGTAATGAAATCTGGTACCGGCATTGTTTTGAAATGTGTTGATTTATACCGCACTGGGTTGATAATAGACCTATCGGGTGACTGAGAAATACGTCTGAGTCTGATCTCCAGTGCCAAGAGTGGCAATTCAAATGTATCGTGAGTACACACCATTATTTTAAGTGATGCATCAATGCACTATTAACCCAGATCTGCAAACGGGGTAACTGTTTTTGATTCCTTACAGGAACACAAGGAATCTTAGTAAGTTAAGTTTTTTCAATCAATTATATACAACTTGGCCTCGAACATTAACCACGCATAATGTAAGCAAGTATAAGATTAGTCATAGCAAAGTATATTTGTGTGTTGGGTCTTATGGGAAGAAAAACAGCACAGCAATGAAGTTGGCAATCTTAACTCCCATCTGTAAATCATGTCAAGTTAATTGCAGTCATCCCTCATTACACGGCAACTCAATATACTGAATGTCCCCCCCCTTCTCTCTCCTCCTTACTGCCGAGGCCTATATAACCTCGTACCACGGCAGATCTCTCGCCTACTTCAGCAGTTTGTTTCTCGCTGTGGTTGTCCCACCTGATGACGATCGCTTGTGTTGCGATCGAAACGTCGTGATCTATTATTTTTCTACCTACGTGACTTTACCGAAAGAACCAAAGAGTATGTTTATGAAGCGTCACTTATAAACTAGGGAACGAATTTGATACATGTTACTTTAAATTCGCATTTATGGAATTTTTTAAATCTCAATTTGGGGGGAAGGGGGGGGGAGAAATCGAATAATCCACGGTCTGTCGTTCGTCCTCGTTCCGAGTATCTCGTGAAAGTGCCTCCACCTGTCTCGCTTGGCAGCCAGCGTCCGTCTCCAGAGAGCGTGCACGTGTGTGCCGTTAGCCGTGGAATGTCCCGACGTTACTTTGTGCCGCTCGGAGCGTGGGACCCATCCCGCCGTTGCTTTGTGAGCCAAAAACCTCCTACATTGTGCACACTCTCACACGTGCACATCCACGTGTGAGTGTGCACGGGCACCCGTGCCCGTTTGAGATCTTCGCTGTAGACGGGAGCGTTTCTTCTAAAGAATATTCTTCTTCGAAGCCAAACTCCCAGTTTTGCAAGGGGTCAGCTTCCCCAATGTTTTTTTGTGCCTTTTCACCAGTCACATTCCCCGTCCTCATGTCTCATGCCACGTGACCCTTCCTCCCCAACCCTCGGGTCCCCCCACCGCCCCTTCTGCCCTGCACCGGTGACATCTCCAAAGCCATTCTAATGTCACCGTCCTTGTCGATTCTCAACACGTGACCAATCCATCTCAGCCGAGAGGTCGAGACACATTTACCTCCCTTACCTTCTGGGCAAGAGTCGTAACCTCCGAGGTCTATTCTCCTACGGGGCTAACAAAGCACGGCAGCTTGATATTGGACCACGGTTCCGGCTTAGCTGTTAGCGCACTCCCGGCCGAGGCAGCCCCGCATGGGCTCGATGCTTTGATTACCGCAGCCATTTGGTAATTTTGTCGGAAATTACGTAAATGTTCTCTTTGATGTAAAGTGGCATAATTTTCTGGAGTAGGCCACTGTGTGCTCAATTTTCAAATTGGAAAACCAAATTGTACAAAGTGGTGATTATCTATGCGTGACTGCTGCACAGAAGTCTCCCTTTACAGAAGAGGCCATAAATGTCCCTGGTAATGAATCTCTGTCTCCAGAGCAACGTAAGACTGGAAATCTGATCAGCAGGAGAAGAAAAGCCCCACGTACGTTGCTTGCTGAAAGAGAAAAGAGCGGGGCACGTCGAATTCCCGAGCTTTGAACTGGTTTTACTTAAATCCTGG